TACTGTTTTCATTGCATTATGCAGATGAAACGACAACTTGTCATTTAAGAAGTTAATAAACAGTCTCCGTTTTGCAGGTTGTCCAAATGCTACTGAATAGAAAACCTTGGATCCCTAAATGATGTGTAATTAAAATTATTTTTAAAATCCTCCTTGACAGGCCGAGGCTTAGCCAAAATGTAAATGACATTAAAGAAGACAATGAATTTAATTTTATTTAATGTCCCTTTTTGCAGATCCTCATTTACATAGCATTTTTAACAAAAGCGTTGACCTTATAAATGCTGGCATTTGTACAGCTTCGGCGGAGTTGGATTTAATCACGCTCGTGCAAAGCCATGAGGGAGGAAGCTTTAAGTTCTCTGCTTGGAGATGGAGTAGGAATAAAAACATTGGGACTGGTCAAATGTTTATCCTCCCCGCTTCTGAAAACAACCTGACAAGAAGATGTAAAGGGCGAGGGAATAACCCGGTGCTGTTTGTAAGGCTTGGTAATAATCATACATAATCGTTTGGAAATATAGCTAATAAAAAATATAATGAGTGTTCAGCAAAATCGGCATTAGGCCCAAATTACATGATATTAATACTTGAACAGGTGCAGAAAGGCGCTTTAAATGAGGTAAATGAATAAAATGTCCCAGAGCACAACTGTGTGTGCTGACAAAAAGTCAATCCCATGAATAATTCAGCGAGCGGGACTGCCAGCAAAGGTCGGCTCTCTTTGACCTTTGTGACAGGAAGTGAAAGGAAACACTGTTGACTAAAAAAAAAAAAAGAGAGAGAGAGAGAGAGACAGAGACAGAGACAGAGAGAGAGAAAGAAAAAAGAAAAAGAAAACCTCCAATCGGTCTTGGGCTACCATTCTGCAACCACTTTAAAGGTGTAAACTTAAAACGCACAAATGAATCAAAGTAAGGCTTTGGAGGGCTGGGCGGGGGGGAGCAGAGAGTTAGACCGCTGGTAGTTAGGGCCTCTACCAAAGACAATGTGAAATCGCAGACAATGAAAGGTTAAGCAAATAATATTTTTCTACATCCCAACGTCAATTATGTATAAAAATCTGAGGTCAGCTGCAAAGTATTTTCAGAACCCATGGGGTTGAAATTCTGTAACAGCTGTTAAATATGACAAAACTTCGCACCACCACCACCACCCCCTCCAAAAAAGAAAAAGTAAAGCTATTCCAAACTCTGTATGAAGGAAAATGGGATAAACAGATGTCTGGCTTCCACACAGGAAAGCAGGGCAGACTTGGAATGATGAGTCTCCCAAACTCCATAGACGAATGCCAGATTCACTGGGGAGGGGGCACTGCTTGCTGCAGAGATGCCAGCGAGCAGGGTGCCAGAGACGGTGCCATCTGGAACCGCCCCGCCAAGCCTGCTCCCCACGCTGCATGCGGCCCACCGTGTGGGCAGCCACATTGCCCTGCTCCTGCGCCCCCCAGTCGGCTGCAACAGTTGGACCCTGCCCTCCCACCCCCCCAGGCCAAGCAAGGAAGGGGAGGGTAAAGAGGATAAGCCTTCCTGGGCATTTCCAGAGCTCCTAAGGAAACAGACTGGGATGGCACAGGCGAATGATGTGGGCCCTAGTGTGGTTTTGGTTTAGCAGCTACGCCGACATCCTGTAATCATTTGCAGCCCTTGGAATGTACGGGTGAAACAGGAGAGATTTATCTGCTCATAGCTGGGATATGTGGACAATGGGTGTTCCTAATGAAGACCATCTGCTTTTGTGTTTTCCCAGAAAACATTATTCCATGAGGAAAATGATACTCCCACCCTTTCCAGCAATACCATAAAAATCCATGCGTGTATATGTGCATGTGTATACTTACATGCATACACAGGCACACATGTGGGTGAATGCGCGAGGCCATGCATGGGTACAAGCATGCCCTCTCCTTCCTGCAGCGGGCTCTCTGCAGGTCAACACAATCCACATGGACACTGGTTCCTGAGTCATCTCTTTACGGACTGCACCTCTTCCTTTACAATGCCATGTTTCTCCTCTGCTCCATAAGTTGCTATATTGTTTTAAATACACTGTAGTATAATTATATCCATGGAGCTATAAAAATCGTTTCTCTAGCCGTGTTTTACGCGGAAGAAAACAGTTAACATAAGCAAAACCTTCACAATAAATGAAAAGGGCTTTGGAATGGGAAACATCCTCTCTGTTTCCCCCTTCTTTACTCTGAAGGGTCTTCCATGCCATTTATAAGTATTTAATGCTCCTGGAAGATAACTAGACTAAATTGTGTAATTAATTGATTTAAGGAATCAGGGTCTATAGAATGTGATCACCCTGCCAGAGCAGGGAGCGCACATCTCTGTCCTCATAACACAGAAAAGCAGTCTCCACACGCAAAAGAGGCTTGGAGTGGGTTGGAACAAATGTGGGGCCATTGATCTCAATTCAGGTTGGAATTATTGGTTTATATCCTCAGGACAAATATGCCTTATCTGGTCAGGACCTGCTAAATGTATCCAAAGGCCACAAGGAGCCAGCGAAGCGCATTGTATATAATTCTTTTTTAAGCCAACTAACCAAGTGACGACACGGCTGGTGGAGACCTGTAATCTGACTCACCAATCTGATGGGACATTTTATTCTGCAATACTCAAGAGGAAACACAGGCTAGAAACTCAACATAAGCAACTAATTTTCAGAGGCAACACACGCCCCACAGAAATGATTGTCATTATGAAATCGAAACGCATCTCAGTTGTGAAAGACCACATCCCTCCAAAGAGATTCCCCTCCTATAGGTGTTTTTCTTTCTCTGATTAACACAACTTGCCCTAGTGAACACTAAATTCATTTTGTCTCCTAGAAATATGCCTTAAGCTGGAGACAGTGCCAATACCACAATCATTTCACAAAGGTTTCAGCAAGCAGCAAAATGCTAATAGTATTTTGTCATTGTAAATGACAGCTCTCTTAAGAATGTTAAAAATGTACACTGTATTTGTCATTACATAAAACTATTCTTACCTTAAAAATCCCTAACATGGAAGGTGATTAAAAATCCTATAAAATTGTCATATCTTTGAATTTAGAAGCAGAGCAGATTTTCCATCAATAATTAAGACCTCCAAAGCATTTATGCCAAACATAAATGGAGCTTCAATCCTCCTTATTCAAATAAACATGGTAAACCCATTAACCAAATGTTTTTACATTTTCCCCTCCTCTCATGCTTCTAGAATATCAAATGATCACACACTTCTCTTAGGCTATAGAGGTATGAGTAACCTCAGCACATACTCTAATTAACCAGATATAAGAGAGCATTCCCTCAGACACGAAGAATAAATTTTGCATATCTGGAAGAGACACTTCCCATCATGTGATAAAAACTGAGTTCGGAGAGTTACTCAGTATCAATCAGTCAACAAATGATTGAATGTTGCATAAATCCAAAATGATTTTGGAGGGAAAACATAGCATCCAAAATGTGAGTCGAATCAACATGGCCACTTCATTATTACAGCATGCTAAAAGTCTCATGACGTAAAAACAAATCATCTTTTCAAATTTATAAATCCCACTCAGAAGATGAAACACTTTCACAATCCTGCAAAGCTAACATGTGCTGCCTTTCCAAGCATCTTCTACTCAGACAAGACTCCCACAGCTACTCAAACCCGTTAGCCAATCCAAAAAATAAAATCAGTTCAGTCACAAGACAACCACCTAAGGCTGTATGATTTCCATAGCCACAACACTGACGACAAATGTAATTATATTGATTTTAGTAGTTTGAGTTCTATAAAGTGTTGAACTTGTTCTCAACTGCCTGAGTGACGGCCACAACTGGTCAACCCTATTTGATTACTAATA